TTATCTCCAATTTCAATAGGGTTCGTCCTTGGGCCAAACAAATGATCTATGCAAAATTTCATCTGGATCGGGCAATAAATGCGACCTGTACTTTGTTTACAAAAATACATGGACAGACGGACGGACGGACATGCATAAATCGACTCAGAATGTGATTCTATGCAGATCATCAAAAGGAACTATGGATCTATCTCGTTTCCTTTTGCCTGTTACAAACAAATGCACAACGACATAATACCCTGACCACCTTGTGGTGTAGGGTATAAAAATGAACTGCTACTTCTTTAATTGCTCTAATATCATATCTCTTGTAAACAACAAAAACAACCAGTAAGTAATATGTAAAATAATGAGTCTGGCAACTCTGCTCGCATGTAAGTGTTTTTTTCTGTGTGTCGTCAAACAAATTAAAATTTAATAAAATCTTCGCAGTTATTGTGTCTTTAGAAGTTTTAAATTGTGATTCTTTAAATATATATATTTCAATAGTTTGCAAAAGTGTGAAGTTTTTGAAATATGTTTTTATACTATTTTACAAAATTTAATTTTGTGCGCGTGGATAATTTTTTTTTTTGGCGTTTTAATATTCCTTTCTGTGTTTGTTATTTCTTTTGTCTTTGACGTTTGTGCATGATTCCCTTTTGCTGCCCTGTACGTGTTTAATATTAAATTAGCATACTTTTAGGTTGTTACTGTAAATTGATTATTACACTTTTTCCAATACACTGTTTCCTTTAGTATTTCGAATTAACATGGAGTGCTCGAATAAAAATTGTAAAATTACATAACATGTTGGCTATGCGATAAGCATGAACATTTAAAATATGCCGGTCAAGGAGCATTTTAAAGCTTCAGAATTTTGAAAAAATTTAATAATTTTCAATTCCTGGATGGATCTCCGAAACGAAAGAAATCCTCAGTTTTTGTACCTGGTGATAATTTGATCCGTTTAAATTCACCAGCTGTGGCTCAGCCACACAACGCTGCCAAATCTTTTGGCTCGGACATCCCACCCTCTATTGATAATAAAACTATTGAAATTGTTACAGGAAATGCTCCGGTCGATGTGCAATCTTCTAAAACCGTACCTATAGCTTCGCAATTCTTAGCGCCTGCAATTGTTGTTAACTCGTCCAGTACAATAGCTTATACTACTCCTGTAATTTCTACTGAAAACACTAATAAGCAAACGTTATCTTCTCCACGTTCGGCAGAACCGTTAAGGGAAGCTTCTGTGACTGCAGAATCTAATTAGCTTTCGTTCTGGCCAAGCCTCGAGCGGTTTTAGAAACAAAATCGATTCCTTCAGATAAATATAAAAATAATGTATCTGTTTCTGCAGATACTACTAATGAAAAGTCTGTTTCTGTATCATCCTACTCTTATGGTAGCCATTGAACTTAGTAACATTCAAACAGTACATACTTCATCTCAAAATAAGTCGCGTACGTTAAACTTTGGCAAGACTAACGTTTATCTGCTGCGTTCTACATTGTCCAATAGAAATTGGTGTTTTGAAGGTAATTTGGATTTTCGTATTTCAAGCTTTTATAAAATAATTAACAATGCATTAGAAACCTCAGTCCCAGTGGATTATAAAATATTAATGAAAATTTTTGAAAATTAATTAAGATACATTATTATCATTTTTGTGTATGGTGGGGAAGTATCCCCATCCACAATAATGGATCATAAAATTTTAATATTAATTTTTAAAATTTACTAGTAAGATAAATTATTTTAGCATGATCAGATTGCAAATTCAAAGGAAAATTAAGGTATCATAAAAAATAAATTCATAAATAAGCCAAATATATAACTGATTCTATGGTAATAATTGAGGGGTTTAAAGACGAAAGAAGCTGGATTTTAAGATTGTGTATATTTAGATATCCTTCTTCATCGACTAATTTCAGGAATATAGAAACAATCAATTCCACTTAATTTAGGAGCGGTGAAGAAGCACTAGTATCTATCGCTTATGTTGGTGTCTTAGGTGATATTTTAGTCAGTTGTTGATGGATTCACTGTGTAATGCTGAAACAGTATCAACTGCACTAAGGGGTGTGTTTTTTCCAGAATGGGGATCAATAGATGAATAAAAATATTTAGCCTGGGCATGCCACTTCTGGCCAAAAGGCGTTGTCCCAGGCAAATGTGTATATTGTTATTTTATAACAATATTTCCACCCTTCAAACGAAAATATTTTAATAATACCAGCCTTAGAAAATATTATAAAAATCACAGATTGATTTCTATGAGTTTTTAGAATTATTTTCCAGCTTTTCGATCTTATCCCTGCAGAGGTTCAAATAGAAAGGAAGTTGCTTAGTTCAAAGCTAATTACCTCATTCTGAACTAGTTTTAATAGTCAAAAGGAAATGTCGAATTGCTACAAAGACAGTGACTTATCAATTTTGTACCTCAAGACAATAATCGAAATCATTCAAATGTTAATGCTGGAAAACGATCCAGTTTCTGATTAAGTTATCTTTCCGCATATATGAAAATGAAAATTTTTAAAGAAATGTTATAAATTTCGAGACCTTGTTATTTTTCCACCATGTACAACTTTTTGCAAAATGATGCATGGAAAAATTATTCTTGGTTCCAACCTTCAGATGCAAGTTATGGTACTGTACAATGAGAAGGCATTGTGCTTTGTAGATACAAAAAGGAACCGTGAAATTATTTAATATAGGGAACAATGTTAATAAGAGCAAAACAAAATGACAATAAAAGAAAGAAAAATAAACAAAAAGTCAGAAAAATGTAAAAGATAGGTTGGTAAGTAGAAACATTTATTTATTGGTTTTTAAGGTTCTAATTCCAGGGGAAAAACTAAAATTTGTGGACCCAAAATAAATGTGGAGATCGCAGACTTTAATTTTCCAGAGTACTATTTTTAAGTCAAATTATCTATTTTGGAAACTAATTATTAAAGTGTTACTGATTTCGTATTCTCCTAATTTTAATGCCAAGATCAAAAGAACTTCAGTGTAAAGAATTTCATATAAACAATAGTGCATGCCACATTTTATTGGTTGTTTTGAGGTAAAAATGAGAATTTTGAAATTGGTATATAGTAATAAAATATTGAACAGAAAAAGTATGAAAATCATAATATTTTTGCCCATGGTGTATTGTTTGGACGGAGTCTCGTATAGGCGCCTTTGAATACATTTTGTCATAACACGTCCATCACAAAATACCCCCTAAAATAGAATTGTCTATCGGCATCTTCCAATATTCGGTATTTTTAAGATTTTTAACAGAATTTTTAATGGATTTTTTTTTGTGAATTTCCTAATTCTTTTTTAAATGGTGGAGGGTATTGAAAGTTCGGCTCGGCCGCACTTACTGCTTTTTTACTTGTTAATATTATAGACGCTGTGTGTGTATGCAAATTGAAGCAAGTTCATGTTTTGTATAGGATATTCAACTTTTGTATACGTTTGGTTTTTTTCAATAGTTCAAAGTAATATTTACAATAGCATACACGACTCGAGATATATCATTCAATAGTTGACAACATGAAGATTTTTTATTATATTTTTTTTACCACGCCCTACCTTGAAATGAAAGGTACCCTCCACATTGCTGTTGATGACTACTTTGTATAAAATTGTTTTGATTTCTGTAGGCCATTGCCATACTATTTTGTACTATTGTGTTATTGCAGGGCTGTGGCAACATTTGGGCACTTGAAACCGAATCATTGTATGATGCTAATATGGAAGTTGATGTGTCAGGAGAGTGGGAGTTTGGTGTCTCCGAGATAATATTTATACTACCGTTACTACTAACGACGTTTGCATGATCATCTGCTGATTCACTATTAGCTTGGATAGGGTGAGATTGAGTAGAACTACTGGAAGAACAAGCCTTTCCATCCTTTACCAATACAGGAACAGCAACTTTTCGAGGTGAACTCGCAGTCTGGAATATAGGAATTAAATAATGAACGGGTATATTGCAGATATTAACACAGATATACTTTATTTTATGCTCGTAAGTAAAAGTAAATGTTAACAAGTATTCGGTGATGGAATCATGCGAAAATCAAATAGATATTTGCAGCATTTCCGGATAAAAAAAATATTATATAATCTTTACTTCAAATAAATTAATGTTATTGCATTGAATGCAGTTTTGTCCAAAACTTTTGTTGAACACACATTAACTTTGTACTCCTATACATAATTCGTAAGCAATTTGTCCATAATTTACAGAAATAAGAAAATCAAATGGCTTTAAAATACGCTAGCACGAATATATTGTATTACAATTTTCTTTTAAATTTTGTTTAAAAAGTACGTTTTTCTCCAACTTCATATATTTGCATATTATATTTGTTTAATTTAAAGACATGAATTTGTATATCCAACATTTCGTTTTAAACAGCACAACAAAAAAATACTTCATGCTCAGTATGAGTTTCTAAGTTAATTAAATGGCACCTTCAGATGTTCAGTGTTTTGACGATTTAAGCCACACTCAAATTTTAAAGCTTTACCTACATTATGCAAACGATTTCACTGATATTTGTAGTTAAAAGTGGAACACCTTTGCATCCAAATACTTTTATATAAAAATTTTCTTTAGCTAATGGTGAAGGGTAATTCTTTACTCCTTTCAATTTGTTCCTTAAACTTTTAGACATTGTAAAATAAAAAATTTTCACAGAAAAAATACAAAATGTACACGAATGTATACATTTTTCAATGGAATTGTCTGAAATTCTACAGAAGGAGTTCTTTGTGAGTACTTTACCCCCTGAAATAGAATTGTCTATCGGCATCTTCCGATATTCGGTATTTTTAAGATTTTTAACAGAATTTTTAATGGATTTTATTTTTGTAAATTTCCTAATTCGTTCCAAGTGGTGGAAGGTATTCAAAGTTCGGCCCGGCCGAACTTACTGCTTTTTTACTTGTTAAAGTTATAGACGCTGTGTGTGTATGCAAATTCAAAGGAAGCTTATGTTTTGTATAAAATATTCAACTTTTGTATGCGTTTGGTTTTTTTCAATAGTTCAAAGTAATATTTACAATAGCATACGCGACTCGAGACATATCATTCAATAGTTGACAACATGAAGATTTTTATTATATTTTTTTTTTTTTACCACGCCCTACCTTGAAGTGGAAGGTACCCTCCACATTGCTGTTGATGACTACTTTGTATAAAATTGTTTTGATTTCTGTAGGCCATTGCTATACTATTTGGTACTATTGTGTTATTGCAGGGCTGTGGCAACATTTGGGCACTTGAAACCGAATCATTGTATGATGCTAATATGGAAGTTGATGTGTCAGGAGAGTGGGAGTTTGGTGTCTCCGAGATAATATTAATACTACCGTTACTACTAACGACGTTTGCATGATCATCTGCTGATTCACTATTAGCATGGATAGGGTGAGATTGAGTAGAACTACTGGAAGAACAAGGCTTTCCATCCTTTACCAATACAGGAACAGCAACTCTTCGAGGTGAACTCGCAGTCTGGAATATAGAGATTAAATAATAAAAGAGTGTATTGCATTTATTAACACAGATAAAGTACTTAATGGTCATAAGTCAAAGTAAATGTTAACAAGTATATGGTGATGGAATCATGCGAAAATCAAATAGATATTTGTAGCATTTCCGGATTAAAAAAATATTATATAATCGCATATAAGGATAAGATATATGAACAACAAAAAGGCATGCCGATGGGCTCACCTATTTCACCGATCATTGCGGGCATAATAATGGAGAAACTTCTTGACGAAACTATGAACAAATTGACTATCAAACCCAGATTCTTGACAAAAAATGTGGACGACATATTTTGCATCGTAAAAAAGGAGGAAGTAGAAAATACACTTAAGACGTTGAATATGTACAACAAACAACTACGGTTTACGATGGAGAGTGAATTGAATAATCGGTTACCATATCTGGATAGCTTAGTACAAAGAGAATGAAAAAAGTTGCTATTAGATTGGTACCAAAAGCCAACAGCCTCGGGTAGATTAATTAATTACCATTCAAGGCATCCGCGACGAATAAAAATTAACACGGCCACAAACTTTATCCAAAGGGTCTTGAAAATAAGTGACAGAAAATTCCATGCAAAGAACAAAATCAAAATCTTAAAAGATCCTAAAAATGAATGACTTCCCTAGAAACATTGTTAATAAATTGATTAAACGCGCTGAAGGTAATAGAGCATACCAAAATACAAAATTAGTGGAAAAGACATATAAAAGATCTACATATATACCAGGGTTTTCGGAAAGATTTTCTTCATCAAACATGTACAACAGTGAAAAGTATCAATTGGCATTCAAAAGCAGTAACACCAACAATAATTTCTTTAGTCGAACTAAAACAAAAATTCCTCACGAGGATAAATCTAACGTCGTTTATAAGATTAAATGTAATGGGGACGGGTCCAACGTATGTCAGAAGGCATATGTTGGGACAACAAAATCTAAATTAAAAACTCGTATTAGCTCTCATAAATCGGACCAAAAGACAAAAACTAAACCCATAGAGCAAAAAACTGCCCTTGCTGCCCATTGCCAACAAGAAGGACATACGCCCAATTTCAAAGATGTCGAATAGAAATAACTACAAACGTAGGTACATGCTAGAAATGCTACATATTATAAATGTACCTCCTAATAAACGAATGAACTACAAAACTGACATGGAACATTGTGCTCAAATTTATAGAAATGTCATCGAAAGCATAAGAAAATTAGTTGGAAAATTCGAGTAAAAAGGAAAGGATGGAAAAGCTGCATCAGAGAACTTAAAAACAGAAGAGTTAAAATCCAATGTAATTATATAGTGTTTTGTTTTATTTATTTATTCTAAATGTTAATTGTTTTTTTCAAGTCAAATCCCTATCGAAGATAGTCGAAATATCGGACAAATAAATTAATATATAAAGTAACAAATTCGTCTGTTTTTTTTAAATTCTGACCTCAAGATAAACGAAAAACAAGAAGAAAATATAATCTTTACTTCAAATAAATTAATGTTATTGCATTGAATGCAATTCTGTCCAAAACTTTTGTTGAACACACATTAACTTTATACTCCTATACATAATTCGTAAGCAATTTGTCCATAATTTACAGAAATAAGAAAATCAAATGGCTTTAAAATATGCTAGCACGAATATATCGTATTAGAATGTTCTTTTAAATTTTGTTCAAAAAGAGTAATACCTTTTTCTTCAACTTCATATATTTACATTTTTTTTTTTTTTTTGATTAATTTAAAAACATGAATTTTTGTATTAATTTAAAGACATGAATTTTTATATCCACCATTCCTTTGTTAACAGCGTAACATAGTAATTTTTCATGATCAGCATGAGTTTCTAAGTTAATTTAATGGTACCTTCAGATGCTCAGTGTTTTGAAAATATAAGAAATATTTTCTAACGGATTCGACCACTTTTAAGTTTTTTTTAAAGCTCTAACTACCTTATCCAAATGATTTCACTAATATTTGCAGTTTAACACCTTTGCATCCAGATACTTTTATATAAAAATGTTTTCTTTAGCTAATTGTGAAGTGTAATTTTTTACTACTTTCAATTTATTCTTAAATTTTAAGACATTGTAAAATAAAATATTTTCACAGAAAATATACAATATCTATACGAATTAATTACGAAATTTAGTTAAAAATAACACCTGCTATCATTTTGAGGTGTCAGAGTATTATGGTCTTATTTTTCGCAGATGTAATTGTGGACGCTGAGCATAAGTTCCTAAGAGTGGACAAATTGATTGGCACATTACATACATATAAGAGAATGTCCTTCGATACCAAAATTATCTCACATTCAATTACACTCTTTGAGTAAGCAAAAAAAAATCATCGAATCATGTTATACCTTCTACTTTCATGAGTGCAAATACACCAAGTGAGATTAAAGACGATTTAAAAAACTCATACAACATGAATGTTGTCAATATTGAAGAAATTAAAAACGCTCGTTCTTCTGAAAATTATAGAATTTATAACACTGAGTTTGGCCGATCAATAAACACTAATGCCAAAATTATCAATATAAGGAAAGTGTGTAAAATTAACATTCACTGGAGGAAACCTCTAAAATTAAGTAAAGACCATACGCAATGAACAATGTGTACAATGCATGACTATGTTTAACTCTAAGAAATTTTTTGCAAAAAGACGGCCAGGTCCTGTAGACTTGGATATAGCAATTAATGAATTTACCCAGCTAAAAAAATTTACTTTTATTCCAAACGATCCGAAAGCATTCAGACCAGAAATCTCGTTTGGCAGAATACTTGAAGCATCAGTTCCTGTATCATCTAAATATTTCAATTTTTTGCACAAGCGAAGTATATGTAAATGAAACAATAAAATCTCATCATGTCGATGATAAAATATGCATTTTAGTCATATACAAAGAAGCCTTAAAGTAATGCATTGAAACTCTCAATGCATTACCACTCAATCACAGTCTACAGAGCTTCAGACGCTTTTTAAAGAAAAATCCATTGACATTCTCCTACTGAACGAAATATTTCTTAAACCAAATCATAACTTAACCAGTAAAGAAAGTCTTAAAGTCGGGCGGGGCCGACTTTATGATACCCTACACCACTTTGCTAATTTAGTAGAGCTCCACATAACAATTAAAAGTTCAATCATACACGCTATGATTATAATTATAATTTAAAGTTCAAAGGACTAAATATGCCGAAGCATTTGTATCTTTTAAATTCGGAATTGTATTGCCCATTTGGTGCACAATTAATTTGAAATCGGATAAAGATATATATATGAGTGCTATATCCAAATTTGAACCGATCTCGATAAAATTTGGCAAAGATATTTCTGAGCTGTATTTCATATATTTCCCTGAATATCGTTTTAAGGGAGTGCATACTACGGTTGTGGGTAACAAATATAACAAATCGGATGAATAATATATATGGAAGCTATAGCTAAATCTGAACCGATCTTCACCAAATTTGACATACTAGCTTCTAGACTCAATTCAGTCGTAAGTGCCAAATTCCATCTCATTTGGACAAATATTAGACGTTTGGTGCACAATAAAAGGTAAATCGGACGAAGTTATATATGGAAGCTATATCCAAATCTTAACCGATCTCGATAAAATTTAGAAAGTGTATTTCTGAGCTGTATTTCATGTATTTCCCTAAAATATTGTTGTTGTAGAGTGCATATTACGGCGGCGGTGGACAAAAATAACAAATCGGATGAACAATATATATGGGAGCTATAGCTTTATCTGAACCGATTTCGATCAAATTTGGCATATATATTTTCAGGCCTAATTTGGGTGCATATGCAAAATTCGATACAATTCGGGCTGATATTACAGGTTTGGTCCAAAATAAAAGGCAAATCGGAGGAAGATATATATGGGAGCTATATCTAAATTTTGATCGATTATCTCCAATTTCAATAGGGTTCGTCCTTGGGCCAAACAAATGATCTATGCAAAATTTCATCTGGATCGGGCAATAAATGCGACCTGTACTTTGTTTACAAAAATACATGGACAGACGGACGGACGGACGGACATGCATAAATCGACTCAGAATGTGATTCTATGCAGATCATCAAAAGGAACTATGGGTCTATCTCGTTTCCTTTTGCCTGTTACAAACAAATGCACAAAGACATAATACCCTGACCACCTTGTGGTGTAGGGTATAAAAATACCTGGATGCAAAGTACACAGAGAAGATAGAAGTCCCCATGAAGGAGATGTTGCAATCGCCTTATACAAAACTGATAGAAAATACATGTATCAGCATCGAGTTTTGTAACTCGAAAATAAAATGTATATCCGCTTATTGTCCTCGGTACACATCTTAGGCGACTTAATTGCACAACACCAGTTGAAACTGCACTAAATTCGATCCTGCCAAAAACGCTCTATTTAATCAATAAAATAATAATTACTATGTATGTACAGGGTAAGATAAAAAAAAACTGTAATAAAGACAAACGCCATAATTTTTACCTTTTTTAAATTTTATTGAATGGAAGCAAAAGTGCCTTTGGCACGAATTATGGCCTTCACATGAAAACCGTCACCTCTGCCGAATGTAGCTCTGTGGTATTTTAGTACAGCGATTGTTTGAGGTGATCGACACTTTGGTTCAACGGATTGATATCCGGAGATTTTTTCATTCTGTCATTGGAACGAGCGGAGAGCGACCATTGGCTGTTATGGCGGCATACACCTTCACCAAAAGGTTTAAATTTTCAGCTGACCTCTTTGTCAAGTATACACGATCATTTTGCTTGTTTCCAAACTCCTGGACAAAGAATGTTTTCTCATTGGAGAAAATCGAATTCGGCAGTTCACCACTTTCGGTCAAGCGAAGCAACTCTTTAGATCTTTGGAGTCTATTTTCTTTTTGTTTCGGTGTAAGTTCTTGAACTTTTTGGAATTTCAATGACTTTACCCCGAGCTAATTTTTCAA